AGCGTAGGTCAGAACTTCTCTTGCCCACCCCCTTCCCCATCTGGGAAGTCTCCAAGATGTTCTTTGGTGGAGTAAAGAAGAGGAAGAAAGACAAGGAGAAGGGGAGGGCGGAGGAGAACAGAGGAATTGTGAAGAGGCGAGGAGAGGGAGGGAGGAAGCTGAGAAGCTCCTTTCAGATGGGAACACTTCAGAGGAATTTCGGAGGGCGCGTGAGGGTTGCACATACTTAAGTTAACTTTATGAGGTGAGGTGGCTGAGGGCTTTTTCTTGCTTTGTAAACACGTAAACCTCTTAGAAGCCCCATCTAGATCATGATGCTGCAATAGCCTGAAACCTCTTTTCGGTCTGATCTGCTGGCTGTAGCCGCATAGGAAAAAATAAAGTGAAAAGGCTGATTAAATCGGCTGAGATAAAGCTATTGAAATGTTGCAGAAACCGAGGGTTTCAGTTTGGGGCAGTGAAGTCAGAAGTCCTGTGAAATACCTTCCGTGCCCTTCCCACTCTTTCTTCAAAAGTTCCTTGCAATCAAACTCCCAGCACAGAACAGAAAAGAGTAGAGAGGAAATAATGATCAGAGCGTGGAAAGAAAGGTGGAAATCTCCCCTCCACTTGAAAAGACTGGTGCCTTCACACTACACTCCCTATTGGTCTGTCAAGTGAACGAGTCCTAAGGTCTCCTAGTAACTGCAAGGCTATTGAGCTCAGAGAGAAGAAACGGCTTGGTATTAGGTTATATAATGGCACTAAAGCAACAGCGAAATGCTGAGGCACAGTGCAGAAGCTCCAGAGCCAATGCCCAGACGCTCGACCTAAACAGGGCTTATGCTGTGAAGTCTTTTGATGTATTCAGTCTTTGACAGATAGCCAGTGCCATCTCCTTTGCAATTAAGACCTTCCCAGTCCATCTTCTAGCCTAAAGGTTGATGGGAGAGTCTTGTTGCTATTTGCCGGGCATGGCATTGGCTTAACCTCTGCATATCTACTCCCCTGGCTGCCCACTTCAACTAACACCTGTGTGTTCCTTTGTCAACCCCTTGTCCAACTAACCAAAGATGCTGTGTGTGTTGAATCTGCCCATGTGATACCTATGTGGCTAGTTTTTTTATGTTTGTTTTCATTTTTAAAAGGATGGTTCTGTTTTTCCTATTGTTCCCCCATCTCATCCTTTTAATAAAAGGAGTCTTTCTTTCAGTGGAGATCTGAGGTTTGAGAGTGTGTTTCTGACAAGTCCAAGAGAGGCTTCTCTTTCCACCAGCCTAAGCCACAAACGCCTCAAATAAAAACACCCATGCTGTGAAGCCTTTTGATGTATTAAGCCCGCAAGAGAGAGCCAGAACCATCTCCTTTTTAATTTGTCTAAGTTTGTCTAAATGAGATAAGAGGAATGCAAGCTGCCCTTGCCTAAGGTAAAGGGACAATTCTAGCAGGTTGCTACTTTTCTCAGGCAGATAATTGTCTCAGAGGTCTGCATTTCCTAGAGCTAAGGGGGAGGTAGCAATGGAATCCTACTAATGACATAGAAGTTTGCCTCATAAAGTGAGTGAGGTCTGCTTTGTTACAAGGACCATCACAAAAAGGTAATGGGGTTATGGCCCTCTGGCCCCACTGTAACTGGAATACTTACTACCAAGCAGTCGACATTGGGAAGGTTGCCACGCAACATCAGCAGGGGGTACTAAAATTTTTCCTCTGGTGTGCCCTGCCCTGCCCTGCCCTTCCCAAGATGGAAGCTGGAACTGTTCACTTCCACTTTCACAATAAGTATAGATCCTTGTTTATCTGATGGAATAAGTCAGCCTCAGTCTCTGGGTTCATCTGAGTGAAGGCTAAGAGTGAAGCTGCACCTAATTGTAACCCTTTAAAAAATGTTCCAGTAGTCAAGAAATGGGTATGATCCCCTGTTCTCCCAACACACCATGTAACAATGCTTCAGTAGTCAGAAGCAATCCTTAGTATGTTCCTGCCTTTGCACAAAAACTGATACGGAAAATATCTTATTGCATCCCATATGAAGCGGTTGCAGCGAGAGTTTCTGATCTGCGCTGACTCCTGCTCTTGGTGCCACCATTCACAGGATTAGCTCAGCCTGGAACAGCCCAACTGAGAGCTTGCACACGTGTTGAGCAAGGCCTGTGGCTGTCCTCCACAGCCCATATGCTTGCACGCTTGCTCTGCCTCTCATCCAACCTAGCTTCGAAGCAGGCTTCCATCCAAAGTGAGAACCTCTGCCCTTTGCCAAATGAGGTAAGAGAGCCAGTTCCATGGCTTGCCGATCAAATTACTACTCAAACATTTTTAAGGATTAACTTTGGACTTAGTCATTCAGTATTTTACTGGACAAGTGCCACAGAAGGAAAATATAGGGTGAGTAGTATAATGAAAAGTGTTGATTTTCCCTCCTTAGGTCATCACAACAATATGTTTAACTACAAAGAATTTAACTGAAATGAATGGCTTTGTGGGGGTGGGGAGAAACTCCCAAGATCTTAGGACCATAAGCAATCAGTAATTGTAGCAACTTGGTTACGCTAATTATGAAGACAAACGAATTGCTGTGTTGCTGGTAATCCTCCATGCCCCCCCACCCCATGATTAAATATATGAAATTGAAGCTCCCTCCCTTAGGATGCCGTCAGATGAACAGTGTGAAGATTTGCCAAGCCTCATTCTGTACATTGATGTTGTCAAGGTTTTCTTTTGACATTTCTGCTTATATTGCCATCTTATAAGGCCAACTTTATACCAGTTTTATCATGCCAACTGCTATGGTTTCTGTCCTATAATTCTGAGAATTTTAGTATGATGATACTAACTTCTCTGTTAGGGGCTTCCCCACTGAAGTACAGTTCCCAGAATCCCCTGGGAAGAGGCAATGATTCTTTTTTAATGAATCACTGTTCAACAATAAAAATTATAGATACCTGCTCACCCTGGAGCCAGACCAGAACAGATTTGGGGGTGCCTAAAATGTTAAAGGACACCCATGCTAGGTTACCAGTCTGGCCGATACTTTAGCATAAAAAGGAAGAAATCTGTACTTTTGGTCTCAGTTGCTCATGAAGGCAGATGCTAGTGAGGCAAGTCACTTCACATTCAAAACGCAGTATAAGCCAGAAGGCTTATGCGGCCCCCAATTAGCCGGGGGGGGGGCAGGGAGAGGGGGAATGGCACCCTTATTTTCATGCAACATCTCAAATCCTATTTTCAAAGGGCATTTTCTCATTGTGTGCATGTTGCCATAGTTACAAGAAGAGCACGCAGACCTTTAATAGTCAAAATCATTGCTCACAAACGAACCAAGGCTTCCTCCTGCAGAATCTGCCAAGGAATTCATTTTGCCTACACTGTATTTGAGAGGACTGTATCATCACGATTCAGCTTGAGATGATGATGGTCAAAATAGGAGGGGGAACAAGAGTGTGATTTCTCTCCTTCGCTTTTCCAAAGCCCAAGTTGCTTTGCTTCAAAGCCATAATTTCCTCAAGAGATGGTATTTTCTAGAATTTTTAATAATAAAAAATCTCATTTCAACAACTAGGTCTTTTAAAAGCCTTTAAAAATCTCTCAGGCCGCTTCTCTGATTTTCATGCTACAAAGATAACGTTTGACTTTGCACAAAAAAGAGCAAAGAACTTGCTGAGCTTTAAACTCTCCCTACATTTTGGCCACAGGAGAGGCTGTTCCATTTAAATTGCAGCAGTTTTGCTTGTTTCATGCATGTTCACCTCTTTTTCATTACTGGTTGGAACAGCCTCACAGAAAATATATAGCACCTTCCACTTGTTTTCAGTGTAGAAGTAGGAGATGTTCAGGCCTTGAATATTGTGCTAGTCAACCTGGCCAGCCTGATGGGAAAAGTAGGCCACATATGTGTATTATCTTCCACAGCAGCCAGGTTGTGCTAATTTAATTCAAAGGCTGAAATGCATTATACTAGATATTCATCCATTGCCAGACAAGTACCATCAAGGACATATTGAGAAAGCCACTGCCAGTCCTTGGCTCCAACTTTCCATCTAGCACAAATATGCAGTCTGTGACCTCCTGGGCATACTAACAAGCAGAAACCTTTGATGCCATGTACACACATGGATTTTATACCCATGAATAGGGATGTAAGACTTTTATTGAACCAGCTCTATTTGTGTTTGGTGGACTGTCGGGTGTCTTCTGTTGTCCACTGAATGACAGAATCAGAATTTTTAAGTGATCTGCAACAATGCCTCAATCATCAGCTGACTCCCAATCACTGGGAATAAGTGGGATATAAACAAATATATAAATAATGGTGATGATGATGGTAATAAAAATATGTCATTCCACTTGTGCTCATAATAGATATTAATACAACTGAGAATATGTACAAATCCATTAAAAAACAATCCACAAGTCAATGGACTCAGCACAGCTTGGAAAAAGGTAGTCAGCTGAGGAATCTTTAGGTCAGAGTCATAAAAACCAAAACCCATTAGAATCCACTGAGAGCTCCTCCAACTCCCCTGTTCATGTGGGATACAACTGAATGCTCTAGGCTTAGGGGATGGCTGTGGGCATGTAGGAGTGAGGAAAAGCACTTTGTTCACCCCCAAAGCGATCTTCTTATTTTCTCTTATGCTATAGAGGCACAATATGGAACCACAGATAGCCTCTGTTGCCAGTGTCTACAGAAACATGGCACCAGCTTCAGCTTAATCTATTATCAATATCAGCAAAGAAGAACTTAAACATGTTATTTTTCCCTCCTTTGCTTATTGGGCAGGAGAGAGGGGGAGAGACAGAGAGAAGGGCTTCCGCAAAAGCTTGTGTTCAAATACTTGCCACGTTGCCAATTTGGAGAGGCAGGAGTGAGATAGTCTGCTAAAGTGATTCCAGATGGGCCAATATTAATATCTTTCCTTTCTGATGAACAAGAAGGTATGGCCCTGATAGAAAGCTGCTAAAATTACAGGCGCCACGGTGGCTTCACCCAGGGCCCTACCGCATAGATGCTTTATCCTTACCTCGGCAGCTGTAGCTTGGGCGAGACGATCTAACCTGCTGCAGCAACCGCTCCAGTGCTTCAATCTGTCCCCTGTGCCGAGGCTCTCTGCCATCAGAGTCTTTCCAGTCTGGTGAACAAAAGAAATAAACAGAATGGAAATGAAAATAAACAGCATGAAAATGCTGCACAGGAAAGGAGAGGCACACTTACCCAGGGTTTCTTTGCTCTCTCTCTCTCTCTCTCTCTCTCTCTCTCTCTCTCTCTCTCTCTCTCTCTCTCGTGTGTGTGTGTGTGTGAATAAACCCTATTCTGTCTATATAAACATCATCATCATCATCAGATTAAGTTCTGTTACATTACATTTATACTCTGCCTTTCTTGCTCTTGCAAGGAACCCAAAGTAGCTTCCAAGGTTCACCTGCTTTTCATTTTATCCTCACAACAACAATCCTGTGGGGTAGGTTATACTTGGAGTCAGTGGCTGGCCAGAAGTCACCCAGTTTGCTTTATGGCCATGTGGGAATTAGAACCGAGGTCTCCTGAGTCCTAGTCCAGCTCTTTAACCACTAGGCCAAACTGGCTCTTGCAGCTGAGCAGTCAACAAAAATGAACAAAACAAGCACATGGGGTACACAAATGAAATCAGCAGAATAAAAATGCCGCAGAGGAAAGACACAGTCACACAAAGGCTCTTGCCTGAAGAGAAAATTGGTCTGTTTTACGTTTGTCCTTGACTGGGCCCCCACGAACATCCACTTCCCTCGCAAATGGCTGCTACTGCTGTTACTTTACTTTTATAGGTTTCGAAAACTCACTCTGTGTATAAGCATTAGGGTATGTTGTACGTCCCTTTGTTTATCCTGCAGCATAGTGGCAAAGAGCTAAGAACACAGCAGTCCCTGCTTCTGTTTTCTGCTTAGCCGTGAACTCTTAGCCTTAGGTGCGCCACTCTCTCTCTGCCTGAACCCCTCATCTGTAAGTGGAGATGATAAAGCCTGGCTGTCTTAAAGGCTTCTTATTACTGAGATCATATTCATGGAGAATTGCAGAAAGCACTATATAAATACTGGAGGTGAGGAGCCCATGGCCCACTGGCCGTGTTATAGGGACAGGAATCAGAGAGGGGCAGAACCAGTCAGTCCCAGGCCAGGAATACAGTGGTGAGCTGCATTTTCTTTTCTGTGTTCCAGCGAAACATCGAAGCTGATTTCAACATCAGAGCAGCAGGGGAGGCTGGTGACTTCCATGCTGGTGGGGCTTGTTACCCATTGCAGCTTTTATTGTGAGCTTGAAAGGTGTGCTGGGGAGATTTGCACACATCTGCTAAAGCAAATTTGTGTAAATCCCTCTGACAGTCCTTCAAATAGACCACCGAACTGTTCTGAAAAGGAGGACACATGGTCATCCCTACATTATCTGGCCTCCTGATTCTTGTTGAGGGAAAAGCAGTGTCTGAGGCTGTGAACTGGAATGGCGGTGTAATTGGTTAAGAGCTAGCAGGGGTTATGGCATGTGCGTGTGTGCATAGCTTCACAACAGCCTGAAAGGTTTAGTTGGGTGGGACCTTTCCCTCTACCTCTTAGTGTAGGCTTGAAAGCTGTGGTAGTGAGTAATGCAGTACCTTCCATGATAGTGTTTTCTCAGGTGTTGCAGAACTCTGTTGAGAAGGTGCCTGAGCTTCTTGTGTGCCACCTGGAGAGCATAATGTAGGGGAAGGCTGGGAACTAGGTAGATACATGAGAGGGGTGAAGAAAGCCGGGTAAGGAACCAAGGGTCTCAGCTGCAGGTGGAAAAATATTGTACAGACACTGAGAAAAACGGGGAGTGGATGTGTCATGCAAAGTTATCAGAGGCCACCTCTACTTGCTGTGGTAGATCTGGTGCCCAAGTCTTGTTGCTGCTCAGTCACCAGATTTATCAGAAATCATATCTTCCCTCACATTATTGAGACCTTTTCCAAATGTGCAACTTAATGTCTAGCTCCAGAAAAGTACACAACTCCAAAGGAATCTTTGTGCAGTTCAAAATTCAAGTAATGCAAAAGCGATATCCTGTTGGCTGATGCAAAACGTGGCTCTTAACAGTGTGAAAAATGAGGTGAGTAATTCAGGTTCTTCTTGAACGTTTAACCTGATGAAGCGTACACATTTCCCCTTCTCCTGCCAAAGACACTCCCTCAGACTCCATTGCTATTCTCTATAGCCAGTGTTTCCAAGATGGAGAAAATCATTCTTGAGCAGGGGACTGCCTTTCTGACAAGCCATGGGATGATGTCAATGTTAGGATAAGGGCAGTGATGCAGGGAAATATCTAGGATAAGAGACACTGTACAAGCCAAAAGAGAACAGAAAAGCCTATAATGGCCTCTTGTTGAGAAGAGAAGAGAAGAGAAGAGAAGAGAAGAGAAGAGAAGAGAAGAGAAAGATGTTGGATGTGTTGAAGAAACTTAAGAATATTATTTAAGAGCTGAAATCCTTCCAATAGTATATGGTTATTTAGGGATATACAGATATTGTTAAATATGTTCCATCTGTGTTTTGCAGATTGTCAAGTGCCTTTTATTCCACTATCTGCCTGTTGATGGAATAGGATTTTGGTGTGTGAGAACTGTGTTCGTATGTGAAAACAAATGGTCTGCAAGTCCACTGAATCAGTGCAACTTGGAAAGAGCTAGTCCGCTGCAAAATCCTCAGATCAGATTCATAGAAATCCAAACTTATTTGAAAATATCAGAGATGTCTCTCAAATCTTTAATCAACCCCTTAATACTTAGAAACCAGCTGGACTAGAATAAAACAACTTGACCTTAGAAAGGGAGACGTCAGCATGGGAGGCAGGCAGAGATGCAATGTATCCTAATAGGACATTTCTTCCGTCTTTCCTTCCTTCCGTCCTTCCTTCCATCCTTCCTTTTCCCTCCAAAGTGAAAATGGTTGTCAAGCTACAAGCCAGAGCAGGTGGTGCTGGGGGGTGGGGGGGGGTCACCCCTGCACCTTCTCTCACTCTAACACCAAATGCGCCTAAGCCTCCAACTCCCACAGAACCAAGTTCTTGTAGCTGTTCTGGGCAACAAATCATGTTCTGGTTAAACGTCCCAGAATGCCAATTCCCAGGTGAGCCAAGCCAATCAAATTCACCATTCAGGCTGACTAGAAGGTGAGAGAATACTTGAATTATTACATTTAAGTGATAATTTGCTTTACTTTTTTGTCCTTGTTTATCGTGGCTATGTGGTGTTTCAGCTTTAAAATGTTCCGATCCACCACTTGGTAAGGGATCACCTAAAAATGTGAGTTAGAAATCTTTTAAATGAATAACAAGAATAAATAATTTTAACTACACCCCTTCAAAGCTTTCTCTGTGCCCTCCCCATCCAATTTTCAGTCAGCATGGAGAAAGGAGGAGGGAAAAAAAAATGGTCAGATTTATGGTACTCATCTTGACCTCAGTGCTGCAGTAAGTTCCTCTGCTATTTTTCGCACTCCTTTTGCTTTAAAAGAATAAAGTTAATAACCCACCACAGCTCTGTAAACAGAAGCGTGCTGCCAGCATGTTTGCCTATTGACAGACTCATTGGAAAGCCAGGCGGATTGGCTCTGCTTAGCTGGCACAAAGTACATGAATGCATTCAGAGCTACCAACTGGCTGGCCCTCTGCAAGCAAGCATGCGGGTTAGTTTACACAGCAAGCTCACGAGCCAATGTTCCATTGGAAGGGCTTGACATTCCAGGAAAATAAATCAGTCCTTGCCTTAGCCCTCTTCCATTTGCTACCAAGGGTCTCGAGGGAGGATACCAGAACTATTCAGCTTTTCCTTATAGCACCCATCCTGAGTTACATAAGACATGACGTTGTCTAGAATGGTACCTGGATGAAATAGTATGTAATTAGAAACATTGGAATGCTAAGGCAAAACTGAGAGGTTCAGAAGGAAAAGACAACTCTTTCTGAATCATGGATGGACGAAAATACTGGCTGAAAATAGAAAACACTGGAATATGATCCAAAGTATGTGCTTAGACCTTCAATGAGGTAATGAGAAATAGTTATAAGCCCTTAGGAAACATAGGCTTACCTTGTGGACACCCATATCTGGGAGTAAGTCCCACTGAACTCAAGGGGACCTTTGAGCGAACATGTGTAGGATTGTACTGAAAGACACACTTCCGGTCATTTGAAAAATAAAGAACAGGTTCTAAGTAATGAAGCAGAGCCAGTGACACATAGTGGTTAAGAGTCATGGCTTAGGACTCAGAGATCTCAGTTCTAGCTAAATTGAATTTCCTACAAATAAAGGAAAAACATGGTATAGGAATCTAAGAAATAAATAAAGGAGTGCTGTTTTCAGTGCATCAGCCTATTCCTGCTGATATGGCTCATCTATGAGTTACCTTTATCCCACAGAGGAAGCTAAAAATGGCTTCTGCACAACGGCCTTTCCACAACGGTAATCAACATGTCGCATTAAGCACCAGGTAATTTTTCTTTATCATCCATTTGGCAGTAACTTGGTGCTGGTGTGAAAATGTTCCCCACCAGGTGCAAATAGCATGAGATCAGCTGGATTACAATTTCTGTTGGTGGCTTGGAAAAGTTGCATGGAAAAGCCATTTAAGCTTCCTTGAATGATAAAAGTAACATGTAGACCAACCCACTGAATTAGAAGAAAGCTCACTGTAATGGGAAGATATGATAGTGCCTCCACATTTTAAATAATCTTTTCAAAGATGTGGACTTGTATTAAAATGAACTTAGGATTTTAAACAAAAATACTTTGAGACTGTCTTTTAAATGAACTATAGAATGTATTCCTATATTATGATTTTAATTAGTGTGCATTATAGGTGGAGATGATGACAGCCAGTCAGACATGTTCTAGAGCAGGGTTCCTCAAACTTTTTCAACAGGGGGGCCAGTTGACAGGTGCCAGTGGTCCGCCTGGGCCGCCAAGGCGGTGCCAGTGGGGGGGGGGCACAGGCTGGGGGGGGGGGGCGGGGCATGCGCACACAAGAGGCAAGGTGGGGGCGGGGGGGCAGGTGGGGCAAGGTGCCAACTTGTTCGCGAGGAGATCGTTTTCTCCGAGCGCGTTCAAAACAACCTCTTTGCGAGCAAGCTGCGAGCCCGCACACACCTGCACGTGTGCACACTGAGTGCAAAACCTCTGGGGTGGGCCAGTTAAATGGGCATGGCAGGCCGGATCCGGCCCGCGGGCCTTAGTTTGAGGACCCATGTTCTACAGTATCATGTAGACCTGGACTTCTGAGGATGGGGTGGTATGGGGGCAAGATGTTCATGGTCTTTTCAGCTTCCTTTCCAAAATCCATCCCACATTCCAGAGGTCGCCTTCCTCCCACAAATCTTCCAATATTTGGAATGTTTTGGTGGCTTTGGAATGCTTCACATGAAGAGATGCCTCCTCAAAGAAGGAGGAATTTACACACATATGGGGTGGGTTCACACAACATGACAAGCGACAGCATTCTTCACCATGGTTTCTCTGGTCATTTGAACACAGGATTGTGGTTCCATGGTCCTGGTGTGCAGCTACCATAGAGTCCCCTGGAAAGAGTGGCAGCTGCTGCAGGAGCTGCTCTAGCCACCTGGCATGGAAATGAATTTCAGGCTTGGTGGCTGGTGGGATACATGCCAACAGCAGAAAGATGAACAAGGAGGGTGGTGTAGTGTACAAACCACAGTGTAGGTAGTCATCTGTCAGGCACATTCACACTGCAATCTATGTACTATGGAAACGATGCAGGATTGCTTGCCTTGAGGTATGAACCCAGCCACTGTGTAGCCTAGGATATAAGTCTCTGTGACCCATGGCAAGCCCTCTAGATTCTGTTACAACTCTTTCATAGCTAGAGTTAACCAGTATCTCTGGCTAAAGACTCCGGCTCAGTACCTACTAAACGTATATTTCTGAACCATCTATATTTCCTTTTTATTAAAATTAGGAATGCAGAAAAGCAAGATGACAGCCATTGTGGCAAGAGAAGAAGATTAAAGAATGGAAAATAATACAAAGAGGGCAAATATAGTCCTGAAATTTGCTATTCTAATAAATTATAAATAAAACCACTTTCTTTATGAATCCATTTGCCTGTGGCTCAGCAGGATTTCTTGTATAATAGAGCAACACTAGTCCAGACCCTCAAAAGTTATTTGGTTTCTGGTTATCCAAAACACACAGGCTCACAAAGTACCACATGATTAAAAACAACTTTATACTTGTCCACTCAGAAGTAAGTCCCACTGAGTAAACCCATAACCAGCATTTCAAAACACATTGATTTGTAGGGCATAAGCCTCAATTGTCCTTTTAGGGCTTAGTTTGGAGTAAACATGCTTAGGCTCGTGTGATTTGCCTGATTTGAACCCAACATTTTGAAGTTTCCCAGATAACACTGTATGGTTACTTTAGAGCCTTCAGGAAGAGAATAACCTGCTATCTCATTGTCCCCAGAGAGTGTAGGCTGCACCCAGTGGAGGTGATGGGGGTGGGGGTGGGGGGCAGGTTCAATGCAAACAGTGCTGTATGTATGCCAGTGCCCCCTGATATTTCAGTTCCACTGCTCATCTTTCCCATATTTTTAGCAAACGATCCACTAAAACTTCACTGATCTGTCATAACAAATTGACAACTTGATACAGCTACAGCATCAGTCGGTCAGGTTGCTTGATTGACAGATTTTGGCTTTGGCTGGTTCTCTGATGGGCCTTGAAATCAGAAACGCATTCAGGCGTGGATCCTGGATGCTTTATTTGACTAACATTCCTCAGGCCATCATTGCAGTTCATTTTATAGAGTGTAAAGGGCTCTAAATTTAGATTGGGATGTCAAGCCAAAATCAGCTCTGCTTTAGAGAAGATCGATTCCCCCAAATTAAATGGCTGAATCTGAGATCAGAATCCATCCACTTTCCCCTCAAACACAAGTATTTTCAGGTTTAAGTGCAAAGAGCCTGAAGTAATGGTATAGTAATCATCTCTGTTTAATATAATATCCATATATAAACATACAACTGAGATCAAATAAAACCTTGCAAGTCAATAGAAAAATTTAAATATGAGTCTTACAAGAAATAATTTATAAATCAAACAGACTGAGATCCTTTCAACTGGAGCAAGTTTTTCTTACTGACTTCATAAATTTTACATTTGTCTATGGATATTAAGTTAAAGACAGTTGATCAGACTGAATTTATGTATACTATTAGCTCAATTTAAGTTAGGTTAACCAATATATTAATTACTGTAAGTTAACATTCCAGGTTTTAACCAGTGGCAATCCTATATACTTCTACTAAGAAATATCTCCTATTTTCTTTAATGAGATTTACTTCCATGTAAGTTTCAATGCAGTTGTCAGAGTTTGGGGGTGGGGGGGATGTCATTCCCCTCTGCTCTCACTATTTTCTTTTCTCTGTCTCTCCACTCATATGTCTATATCCCTGCCAACTCAGAATAACACTTTCTCCATCCAGTGAAGTGACTCTAGTCCATGAAAGCTTGTGCTTTAATGCAGCTGCTGGGCTTTTAAGAAGTCTCAATAATCTGCCAATTTTGACAAGATTCAGTGTTGTCCTTGCTGGTGTGTGTCTGGACGTGGGTGTTTCATGTGAGACTGTAAAGGCCTATGTACATTGCTGGCTTATAGAGTCCTAGAATAGCAGAGTTGGAAGGGGCCAAGAAGGCCATCGAGTCCAACCAATGGCCACAGGCAAAGTGGCAAAGACTAGAACTCCAGGTTCCCAAATATTCATGGGGTGAGCTTTCTAGGACTAGGAAACAGATGAGGATGACTTAGGTGAGCCCGGTAATATAAATGGGGCTCTGGTGAGGACAGATATGGATTAGAGAGCCAACTAAATGGAGACCAGTCTAGAGGATTACACGAACCACGGCTGCACTGCAGAGGCACCCAGCCTGGATTTCCCAAGAGGCTTACTAAATAGAGAGTCCAGCAGGTGACCAGGCTGAAGCTCCTTGCCAAGCAACAAGCAGAGTGAGGCACCAAAATGAACAGGGCAAGACATGCTCAGCTTGGGTATTCTGGCTTGACAAACAGTCTATATCCAAGGTAGACTTTCAATAGCGCTTGCATATTTGCTTTTTTTCCGTCCCACCTGTTAAATTAAGCAGCGTTTATCTTGTTCAGTCTTCAGTGCTCAGCTGGATAGGCAGAATACACACTGACCAAGAAGATAGTGACCCTTTGAAGTAATGGAACAGAAAGCTACTTGAGGATTATGCTCCAGCAAAACCCAGAGCAGAGCAGGGTTCTAGGGCTGAGTTGCAGCACCCTTCTCAAACAGAGGGTAACTGCACTCATAACTTGTGAACAGAAGGAGTTTGAGGCTATTTCTGAAAAGCATTTCTCAGCAATTAGGTGATGAGACAGCTCCTTCACTTCAATCTTGTTAGCACCTCAAGTTTATGAAATTGTCTAATATCCTAATTAATGCAGGTAATAATATAATAAAGTGAGCACATGGCCACAATTATCTGTGCAGAGGAAGCCAGCAAAAGCACAGTCAATTTTGGCAGTAAATCGTGTTACGCAAAATATGATTAACAGTATGACACTACTGTGCCAGGATTAAAAAGAAAAACTGTGCACACAAGAATAAGAGCCTCCCAAAACATTTTTTCTAATATTTTGACAATATTTTTGTTGAAAAGCAGTGGCTGAAATAATGTTTAATAAATGGATTACAAATGTGTCAAATTTACCTTTTTATGCAACTAGTTCTCTAAACATCATAGGATCAGATTTAAACTTCTTTATCTAATCTTCTTCTTCTATTGAACTGATTCAGATGGTGGTCCTTTTGCCCATGCAATCAGGTTCTTTGTTCTTCCCTTCATACAAACCAGCAATCTCTAAGCAACCATATTTTCTTGTTTCATCCAAACTGGAAAACCCAGGTTGCCAGTTTCAGAACAAGGCAGAATATTAAATGGTTTGAAGTTGGTTTAAGATCCTGGCTTGTTCCAAAGCTGTATATAGTGGTTTCCTGCTTCAGAAACTACAGAAAACTATGATTAACTGAACATGATCTGGTTTAATTGGGACATGTGCAAAAGGAGGAATGAAAGGGTCGCATGTGTGAACAAAAATCTCTTTTCACAGCCCAGCTTGTGAACCCAAGAAACAAGAATCCAAACCAACTTTTCCCCACATCCATCTTTTTTGTGAAGCCTTTCTTTTAACTTCTCATTTCTTACAGCCAGCTGATATAAGCCTAAGGACATTCCATGTACATGAAGTGCACATGAAGGTCATTAAGCTTTCATGTACTTATTCATTACCTTACCTTTGCCCCTTGCTTTCCTCCTTAACCTTTCTTCTCTCTGTAGTCTCTTCTAGTATTAAAATTTGGGTTTTTGTAGGCAAGGATCTCTAATTTTTGCTCCATCTATGGCAGTGTATAAAGTAACATGTATATAGATGGTGCCATATAAAATGTAAACAAATGCATAATATCATGCAGAAGTGCTTGAAGAAAGGAGTTACTTAGAACTAGTCAGTCATAGGACTAAACAGACTGCTAACAGAACTTGCCAAAGCAATAACACATCTTCTAACAGTGCATTTACGTTTTAAATAAAGCATTGCTTGAGTTTTATCATTAAACCTATTATCAAACAATCGTACTTCAGTCTAACTAACTTCTAAAAACTCGCTTTGAAAAAGAGGGAGAGAGAACATGAAGGTCAAATAATATTTGCAGTCAGTATTGACAGATGAAAGTGCTTAACGTACTTGAAGGAGAAGCACAGGAAGGTGTGGAAATCTGCGGCTGTCCCCAGCCTTTCATATTATAAGCATAAACTCGGACATAATAGTTTTTGCCCTGCAGTGAAGAAAAAAAAAAAAAAAAAAAAAAAATCCCAAGTTCATGAATGCAACCTCAGTGAATGTTCCAAAGTCAGGTAACTGATCAGGACAAAGAAATGACATGATTCTATTTCCTTGATACTGTCTATATAAAGGCTGTGGCAATAGTCCACTCTTTTGGACAGCATGTTTGAGGCAGATCACCCAGCTGCTAATTTCATGATTTCACTGGCAGACACTGTGATGATATGATGGCCAATTTTGTTGGACCCACCCTGTGGAGAAAACTTCCTTGTGCAGATTGGGAGCCAGAGAATGTGGCATCTTTCACATCCCTCCTGAAAATGCATTTGTTTCATTAATTAATTAATTAATTAATAGCTTTTCTACCCGTTCCGCCACTAGCGTCTCACGACAACTTGTTCTCCCAGGCTTTCCATGGCTTGTGAACCATGCCACTGCATTTTACTGCACTATACCTTAATTGTAATTGTATTTTAAATATGATTTGAATAGTAACATTGTGAATGTGATTTCAGTCTGTATTTGTAAACCACTTAGGGATATTCAGTATTATAGTAATATTACAAATAAACACATAACTTAAATAAAAAGTTAATAAGTGTAAAAATGGACCAAAATGTGAGGGAACACTTTTTTCCCCTATTTGACCTTCATTGCCCTTCACAACATTTGCATCATCTCCACTGTCCCCTGTGTCATTTCTGGAGCAATTCAGAAACACAATTCTCCCAAACAAATCGAAGAAAGAGAAGGCATGAATTACTAGCAACAACATTAAAAATATTTATATAAAATGTATAATAACTAGTACATTATGCACATGTTTCGACCACAGGTTTTCTTTAATTATAGTGAGATTATCTGTTCTCTCTTTTAAATTGGTTTCAGGTTATCTTTTATAATATTGTACTGCATGTCTTTTCAACCTTTGAGAAGCAGTTCAACTTAGCCATCAGTGAGAAGCCGTGAGACCTTTTTGCTAGTGGTGGGAAAACATGGCAGAATCACTACTGAAAAATGATGTCTGTGAATGAGGCGGGACAGCTGCATAGTAAACACATTGTCAGAAAGGAGTCTAGGAAAGCCCTTGTCTGGAACTACATGGCCATCTGTACATGAGTCCCACACTTGGGTCAACGGGACTTGCTTTCAGGTGGGTGTAGTAATTGTCATAGTTATCTGACCCAGCACTAGTTAGGGGCAAACTCACTAAGGAACCTATACATATTGGATTGGTGTGGAAATGAGCTAGGTTACTCGACAGAACAGAAGTCCTATGGCACATCTTCCAAGCCATACTGATCTTTGGAATTCATCCCCCCACCCCTACTACCATTCTTGCCAGCTTTCCTTAACCCTGGCTCAGACACCCTCTCTGTCAGCCCTCCGCAATCCCTACCTCCTCCCCACCTGAAGTTGGGGCAATGGTGGTACAGGGGAAAGCGGAGGGAAGAGGCTGTTTGGTGGGCTCAGGTGGCTGGTGGAGAGGGTGCCTTGAAAGCTGGGGAGGATGGGAGAGCGGCTTTGACTTTTCTTCAGGCTCCGATTTTAATCAGAGCTCCCCACAGAATACAGGGATTTTGAATGCTTGCCTCTTCTTGGAAGAAAACGTTAGTACCCACCAAGACTCGTCTGGACCCAGTTGCTGAGAATTCCACCTGTATTTCTGCCTAGCACAGTCACCTCTGATGGGCAATAAACAGTTTGGAAGCAGGGAGCTTTGTTTCCACAGCCCCGTTGCCTTTAATTGGAGAGGTAAAGGATGGAATGTGGAATTCCAAAGCTGCAAAGTCAATGCTATTCTATTGGGCTACAAATCTTCCCCAAATACTGGTATCTTCTGGGCAGGAGATAAAAGAGGGGGAAACTCAGTTCATTGATTGGTAACAAGTGAGACTAACTTTTGCATGCACTGAAAACTCAGTCTCACGAACTTAGAAATGTTAAACATTGAGCTTGAAATTGAATTTAGAGGGACTTGAAAACCCCAAGTAACTAAGGCTTGAAAATAATTTTAAAATCAATAATATTCATACCTTGATCCCAATGCACTGGGATGTACTTTTGAATAAATCTATTTAAAATGGTGTGCATTCATAATTGGGGGAATTGCAGTAATACATATCAGGACAATATTAAAATTGTGCGAGTGAGTCTGAAACTGGAGAGTGTGCATGAGAATTTTTTCCTTGAATTTATTCCTGCTATAAACATTGATGATTTTTTAAAAGAAAAGATTTACTATGTGCCACTATTGACAGCATTTACATTCAGCCGCTTCCAAAGGGCCATCAGAAGGAGAAACGCAAAGTGTACAAAGTGGGCTTCCCTAAAAACCCACAAGATTGTCCATGGGGAGATTACTGTCCATTATCCAACCACTTTCAATCTTTATAAAAACACCCCTCTCCCCTTTTAAGTTACTGCAGCCAAGGACTTTTTTCCCCCTATTGAAGCAGTTGAGATAGAATTGTTATTTTAGCCATCAGGCATGGACTGAGGATTGGCTCTCCTCAAAGCCTTTGATCTGGGCTAAGATTAGCCCTGAGCCATGGAGCAGCGGCTGTCATTCCACCCTATTCTGATCCTCCCCACTCACATGGCAAACCAAGCTATGCTGCTGCCTGCATATTCCTGCGTGATGCTCAGATGTGAGAGCCCAGTCATAGTGCGCATAATTACAGGCAGGCCTTCCTGCCAAAGGAAGGGTGCCTGGCCCTTCTCATGCAGCTGAACTCCAAAGTCCAGGGCTGTGCTAGTGTCTGGGGAGCAGCCATCTAAATGAATGACTTGCCATTTACCATTGTGAGGCCAGTGATAGTGCACTTCAAAGTCTGAAGGTTATCCATGATGATTTCCCCAGCCAAAGGAGAAAAGTCTTCTGAACAGCTCCATTCCACTAGAAAATAAATCAGATAGGGAGAAGTTAAATCCGGTGTCAGTGTTCTTCTAAAACAGCATATGCACTGGGCTATTTGTTTCAACTCCCCCTTGTTTGTCTTAGGTCTACATATCAATAAAAGAAGGACTTAAAAAGGCTTCAGCATACAAGTTAATCCAAGTCAACATTTGCTCTTATTTAAGCAACTTACCCTAGCAAAGAGATGATATAAATAAAAGGGAGTTTGGACATGCAGAGACAACTGAGCAAGCGTGTGGATCTATTGATTAGGTACTAGCAATCAAAATAAATCTGTAGCCAAGAGGTGACATTTCATGGGCTTTGCAGCTTGTAGCAATACAGTACAAATGAAATGTGCAGTACTTAAAATGCAGCACCAAACTTTCCTTCTGGAGGAATACCGTAATTTCTAGGATAGCATTGGCACTCCATTTGAAAGGGAAAAATGGGGCAAGGCTATAGAAACAAAGATATAGCCCTGCTCATCCTTCTGTACAAGCTGGATCACAATCTGCAGGCAGGCCTGTTGTGCACACGTCATCCGATGACTGAAGCAAGGACACAACATTGCACAAGAGAGCCAGTGTGGTGTAGTGGTTAAGAACATGGGACTGGGACTCAGAGGATCTGGGTTCTAGTCCCCGCTCGGCCATGGAGCCAACTGGGTGACTTTGGGCCAGTCACAGACTCTCAGCCCAACCTACCTCACAGGGTTACTGTTGTGGGGATAAGATGGAGGAGGAGATGTAAGCTGCCTTGAGCCCTTTGTAGGAAAAAGGCAGGATATAAATCGATAAATAAATAAATAAGAATAGGCTCCCTGGCAAAGAACTAAACATGTGACTGTAGTTTGCATACAAATGCACAACATTTCACTGCACTGCTGAAGAGAGTTACTGCTGATGGACACCTCAAGGGCCAGTTCTCCCTCCTCATTCCTCAGCTCTTCAGAAGGAGGGCACCAAGCAGAGGACTGTCCTCCGACATCTTTCTAAACAGAAGGAGGAGATGTCTAAAGTAGGATGATTGGCCATGCGGCCACCCTAAGCAGGCCATGTACGAGGCAACTTGCTATCTAGTGCCTCTGGCCATTTTTTTTGCAAAATCCGGCTGGGTTCACATCAGATGTAGGTGTGCGTATATTTGTGAGTGCGTGCACGCGTGCATGTGTGTGTGTGTGTGTGTGGGAAATATCCAGTTACATGAAGGGTTCTACCTCAGGGCTGGTCCCAAGCAACACATGTATTCTCCATTATACTTTCCATAGATCTTTATACTTCTGACCAGCTTCTGACTGCACCCTGCTTTTCAAACATAATGTGAGAAGCAGCACTCCCAAGTCAAAGAAACTTTAACTTGTGTCCATTAAGCTTGAGTTCCCTGAGGCTTTAATAAGCAAAGCACCACAGACTTTATTGAGAGTCATAGTACTATCTGCAGCCACCGCTATGAAAATTTAGAGGCTGTTAACGTAACATCTTGTAGGGGTTCCCTTGCCTGTGTATAGCCTCCTTTCATTAGAGCATGCCTGTAAGTGTCATTATACTTGATGGCCTGTCACATTTTCCATTGTAAACCACAATTTTCTGGGTTTTATAACTTTTGCTGTATTAAATCACTTAGAACTAAAGCTGGGTATACGAGCTGCCAAAACAGACAAGTTCCATTATGCTGCCAGCATAAATTGGAGAAGACCTTCCTAGGTTGTTTAATGTCAAACAAAAGTAATGTGCAGTCTTGTCAGAAGACCTGTCTTGGAAAAAAGTGGCCTACCACGGGGGGCCATTCTTTGCCACGAGGTACAAAGAAACCATATGGCAAAACTGAAGGTGTGCTGTGGAAAGGAAAGGCGGTAGCAAAGTGGACAACAGTGGAGCGGGCCTTAAGAAGAGAGCCAGAGTTCACTAAATTTTAGCCTAACTTTTAGACTTCCTCTTTGAGACAAAAATGAAAACTTTGGAAAGGGAGATGGAAGAGGCCGTCATACAAGCTCACCGCATCTCTCCATGAGGTGTGCTATCATGATTGTAATGAAAGAATTACTGGGGAATGTCTACAGTATTGAGAAGTCAATGGGCCTTTATCAATGGACCCAAGAGGAAGTGCTAGCAGCTATCATATGAATCACCTCCAAAGGGTACCCAAAGAAACAAATAAGCCAGCCAACGATTACGTTAAAAGAAACAAGGTGTTCTTTAGAGAAATGGCTATTAAGGAAGGCAAGTTGAGTGGTAAACTGTCTTGAGATTCTGTAATGATTTGATACATTATAAAAATTTAAAATATACAAATAAATAGAACCCATTGAAAGATCCCCTTCTGGACTTGTGTGCATGTACATGCATTCCAAATGAGTAGAATTATTAGCAGGGAAAACTCAGTTGGGATTAGGAACTTTAGGATCCCAGGGCATGCCTAGGGGCCTGGAAATTGTGGAGAAGGGGCACTAGAGTTCAGTGGTCAAAAACAGAACCCGAGAGCTGCATCTCTTTACCTTGCAGTGCTAGGTGGATTCCATAGGTGTGGACATGCTGGAGAAAAAAAATATGAGGTTTACATATGGGTTAGGAAATGCATGTCCAGGGTCCTTGAAATTGTCAAAATAGGAGAAACAAGTTGAGTGATCAAAAAGAACCACCTGAATTATATTCTTTTGCCCTTGTGTAAATGTACATGCAATCCAATGGAATATAATAAGTGGAGTTAAACTGAAAGTTCAGGTTAGGTTTAGGAAACGATGGATCCCTGGAAATAAGCCTGGGGCTGGAAATTGGACAGTAAGGGAATGCAAGTTGAGAACCGCATTTCCATGTTTGCCTTCAAATAAGTGTGTTCCAAAGGGATGGACAGATTTGAGAAAAGAAGCTCAACTTTGAGTTAGGAAACCTGGGATGCCTGGGCATGAGTTACAGACTGCAAAATGGCCAGATAGAGAATGCAAGGTCAGTTGCCAAACAGAACTGCTTGAAAGAGGCAGTGATGCACTCTCGTGCATATAACATGCATTCCAAGGCAGTGGGGTCGAAATCAGAGGTTAGGGTTAGAAAATATAGAACTGCAGGTGCTTGGAAATCATGGAGAATGGGCAGGCAAGTTGGGCAGTCAGAAAGAAGTGCCCAGTAGCTGATTTTTTTTACCCTGCAATGCCTATGAATGCATTCCAAAGAGGTGGAGCTATTGGAGAGAAAATTTCAGATTAGGGTGTGGTTTAGGAAATGCTGGTTTCTTGGATACAGTCATTGGCTTGGTGATTGGAGGGAAAGGACAGGCAAGCTGAATGGTCAAAGAAAATGGCTTTATGACTCCATTTGTGTACTCACATGCATTGCAGTACATTCCAAAGGGATGGAAGCATTGTAGTTTATTTCTCAGTTTACTGTCAGGAAATCCTGCATTCTTGGGCATGTGTATGGGCCTGGAAATTGGCCAGACAGGGAATGTAAAGTCAGCAGTCAAAAAGCACCAGTTCATAGATCTAGTTATGCACTTTGGCTCATGTACAGGCAATTCAATATGGTAGAAATATAGGAGTGAAAAACTGAAGTTAGGTTTATGGTTTGAAAACCTTGCTTTCCAGAGTATTGGTAGGGTCCTGAAATATGGCAGATAGTGGAGGCAAGTTGTGCAGTTGAAACAAACTCCTTGGAACTTCCACTTATTCCGATTTGATTGCATTGAAATCCCCTCACAGGAGGTGGAAAGATTGGAGTAAAAATTCCAGGTTCAGGTCAGGGGGAAGGTTTGGTTTAGGATATCTTGGGCTGATGGGTGGTTGAATGGAGCTGGAAAATGGCTGCATAGGCAGCACAATTTGCCCACTCAAAACCAACCAGTTGAAATTTGCATTTCACTGCAGGAGAAAGCTCAGCTTCAGGTTAGGGTTGGGGAATAATGGATTCTGGGGCATGCCTTGGGGCCTGGAAATTGTGCAGACAGGGAAGACAAGTTTGAGTGGTCAAAAGAAGAATCTTAAGTATGCATGTCAGCCCTTCCTTTCACAGAAACACATCCGAAAGGGTGGGCATTTTGCAGAAAAAATATCTCAGGTTAGGGTTCAGGTTATGCAATGTTGTACCACTACGTCAGTCCATGAACCTGGAAATTGCTGAGAAAAGCCAGGCAAGCTGTGTGATCAGAAAGAAGCCCCTTGTGGCTGCAATTCTGCACTTGCGTTCATGGAGGTGTATCACAGTGGGGTAGTAGTACGGGAGTGAAAATTTCGGCTTAGGTTCAGGTTCAGGGGAGTTTGGATTCCTGGGCATGGATGGGTCTTGGGCAACATAGGGAATGGAAGATGATAGGTCAAGAAGGATCCCTCAAAAAGATCCCCTCCTGCTCTGGCTTGCATGCGCAGGCATTCCAATTTGGTAGAATTGTTTGAGCAGAAGGCTCAGATTAAGGTTCCAGTTCAGAAATGTGGGAGCTCTAGGCAAGCCTTGAAATGCTAGAGAAGGGGCAGGGAGTTTGAGTAGTTAGAAACAAGAACCCGAGTCCTGCATTTCTGCACTTCCCTGCCATAAGGGCATTCCAAAGGGGTGAAGGTATTAGAGAAAAAAAATCTCAGTTTTGCATTAACTGTAGGAAATGTTACATAGATCCCTGCACAGGATCATGGGGCCACAAATTGCCTAGGGAGGGCAGTTGAACCAAGTAAGCAGAAAGAACAGTTTAGCAACTGCAGTTGTGCAGTCACATGCAGTCAGGTTATTCCAATGGGGTGGATGTGCTGGACTGAAAATCTCAGGTTTGGGCTAGGGAAAGTTTGGTTCCTTGGATATGTGCATTCTGGAAAATTCAGGGCTGAGCCAATGAACATGAATGATGGTACTTAGAATATTTAAAGTTTATCATGGCATGTACCAACCCCAATACATTTTTGAGGACATGCTCCTTCAAACTCTAGTAAAACCATCTCTGAGTATATGCATTGCAGTGATGCCATGATGGTGCCTTGTCAGCATAACTAGAAATCGAGCCACTGAAGGACATGAAGATGC